ATCGCGTGTATGTAGGGGGAGTGTGCCCTGACCTCGGACGAGGTCATTGAGGAACAGTTTCTAGTAGTATCACTAACCCCAACTAGAATAACGACGAACGAGTGAAGAAAGTAGATCTTGGAAATTGACCCTACTTAAAATTTGTAGGTAGGCGATTATTCCTGTGGTTAATTTATGAGGTCAATTTCACTTAATATACTGCCGAAAGCGGTTTTTGTATGCGGCGGCCTTCCGAGGAACACTCTGCAGTTCAGTGCCATCATCGACTCCCTGCTGGATCGACGGATGGCGTGTAGAAAACTGGAAGATTATGGTTAATTCAACCTACTTACAAAATTAAGTAGGTGGCTATAATACATAAGTACCTTTCGAAGACCCCACAAGGAATCCTTACCAAGAAAGTTTGTAGAAGCAAGTGGAAAGTAGGAAAATGTACCTGAATTTGTTTCCCGCGGCCGGTGGGAGAAAGTTGTTCTGCATGTAAATTGGAGGTGTGCGCGGCGCTTTGCGCCGCGAACTATACTGATCTAACTCCAGAACGGTATGTTGAACTCCAGGTAACTTGAAGTAGACTACCCCCTAACCACCATTTCTATTTCTTCAGGACTTTCAAGAAATCTGCATTTTAATAATCGGGTTTTACCGCAATACGTTAAACGATAATACGGACTGAGAAAATCTACAGATATAAATCAACACAATTTCTAAATACAATAAACTTAAAATGCATATAGCAGCTATTAACTTATATTCCACTGCCTTTCTTAATTCACCACCCGCAAAACCCCACATAACCACCGTCTCTGTAGGAAAAAATGTTGGAACTAGAGGTATATGAGGCGCACTACTTAAACTACTGTTGCCTACTATAATCTATTATTGCCTGTATTTGTTTGGCATATTCCATTTACTTTCTCTCGTGCAATCCCGTATTAACCCCCCCCTATAACCCTTACTATCTCCGGTCCCGTATTACTTGGCTTCCGTGGCGAGCCCTATAATAGGCTGTTACCCAGGATCCATTGCCCAGTTTGTTTCGGTGACTGTCGCAGCATAAGCTGACCATCTATGCGCGCCACACGCACGACCTAGTCTCCATTGTAAAGGTCTCAGGCAACACTAAGGATAGTTAGTTCAGTATATTCAGTTCAGTATACTGAAGGTAGTAGGCAATGCAGAGATCGACGCAATAATGCAACCTTGGCAAGCCAAAACTCTAATAAAATCACAATCAAACTGCAGCAACTTTTTGTCCTTTTAGTCAACCAGGCGCGGACAGTGACCTTCGTCAGTCATTCCGTGCTCGATGAGGAAACTACTATTCTAGCCCAGAAAACGATGGAATACAGCAATCGGACGTTAGTGCGCGAGGCTGAGGCGGCGGTTGCACCTAAAAAAATATCGTCGGCGCCGGCCTTTGTAATGCGCCTTCCCATTATGCAAGTCTTTACTGAAGCCAAGGACGCCCTAGACAGTGGACAGCCCTCCGTGGTTCTACCCTCAAGTGCAATTAGATTTCCAATGTCGGATGAATCTAACGGCTTTTTCTTCTGCATTTTTAAGAAGGAGGTAAGTTTCAGATTCCACTTGATTTTGCCTTCCCTCTTCCAAACCTCCCTGGTTTCTGCTCACGCGCAGCAATTTTTTCCGTTTCTGAAAATGTGCACTGGCCCTGTAACCTTCCTTCATCGGGAGGCCGATGAAAACAGTCCTTTGGTAGCATTTTCTATCTTCCGCAAATCGTCCACCCAACTGAAGGTTTTTCGGTTTTTTTTTAATATTTGACAATTTTCGACTAATTTTGAGCAGGCTTAAGTTTTGCTCTACATTAATGATCACTTTGACCTAGTTCTGTTTATACTGACGGTCAAAAGGACGGCAACCTTGTGTGGACTTATGTTGTACGATTATCAATATCGCCATCCAAATTATGTGGTATTTTCTAATTAAAAATATATTTCAGAATGTCGGTGTATACCTCCTCAACTGTATCATCTCACACGTCTCATAGAGAAAAGCTTTTTAAGGCCAAATAAATCCTTCCTTTGTGTTTAAAAGTTGAAATGAACGAGAATGGCTATCAAGTGCATACAGCATAATGTATGTAGTGCTTGATTGAATTGATAAAAACATCAGCAATCAGCAAAAATGCTTACTGTTTAGGCTATCCGTTTTGGTCGAATTCGGTTTTTGCAGTTGGCCAGAAAGAAGTTTTTTCTAAAGCCAATATCATGACGTGTCTGAAAGATATTGGGAATATGCTGCAAGACCGTATATGTCACAAGCCTATTTACGTAGTCCTGCCTAATAGAAAAGGTAGTTCAGCATTTCGGTCATAGTTTCATGAGATCGGTCATTGGCTGTAAATCCGGATCCTGTAGGCCTACTGCGCATTTTCTGATTAAAAGATGTTCTAAATTTCCATCGCAACTGCTAGTTGGACGGGAATGTGGTTATGAAACATGAGCCACACCAGTTATTTGTCTATGCTTACGTCTTTTATTATGGAATGCATTCTGATTTACTCGCTTACGTAGGAAGAGGTGTGAACTAAGGCTTGTACGATCGCGTACCGCGATATTACGATCCTGACATATCTATTATGCAAGTCATCGTATTTTTTGTGATATAGGGACAAATTTGATTTTATTGCTAAGCTATTAAGCCACCATCAGTCAGCCAAACTCCTCCTCAGATGTCTTGGCACCCGAAGATCGAACCCACAATCTGTTGGTTAGAATTCCAATGCCTGAGGCATTGAGCCTGGTGGTTGGGTATGGCTGGTTGATGACGGCTTATAAACCAAAAAGCGTCAGTTCAGTCTTCCGTTTCCTGCAAGCAATCCGGAAACCTAGAATACTCTTGCATGGATAACAAAATGGCATGTAAAGTGGCACTTCAACTCTTGATTTGGGTTGAATACCGAACGCCGAGAGAAGGAAAATATTCTTCTTGTGTAAACGACCAATTCAAATTCAAGTGGTGTGCCGGCCGCTTTCCAGTAAACCTTTTTCACTTTTTCGACACTGACCTAGTCCAAATACCCACAGAACTTTCTCCCGTGCAAGACGTTCACTCCACCTCCCCCCCCAAAAAAACTGCCCTAGCAGCAACGCCCCCTTATGGACTGCAAAAGCGACTACCGAAAACCCCCAGCCCTCGACCAATTTACAAACAAAACAAGATGGCCATAACCAAGTACTCACACCCCACTCCTGTTCGATGTAACCTCTACCCCCAACTCCTTTAGTGCGACAATCCTAGCCCTCACTTTTCATTTAGGTTGACGAAGAGTAAATTTTACCTGCCCAAAAATTCACGAGTACAACTCGATATACATATATTCAAACAGAAATGGGTGCACGCAAGTTCATTGACTTCCCGAAGCAAACATGCTCTATATAACTGGTTGTCACAGCTGGTAGTTATGATTATAATTGACCGAGTGAAGCTAGAATAAGCTCGAAAGAGACTGTATAAAGGTACATGCATTTTGGTCATCCCTTCTCTACGGGAGAAAATAGAGTTCCACTCCTGAATTTTCGTGCTAGTTACAGTCGTTAGAATAAATGATACGTGAAGATTGGGCTCATCGCAAAGGAGGGTTTTGGAGCAGAGGTTCTATCGAATTGCTGAGGTCCAGAGATGCGGATGGGGTTAGGTTGATGCGAATCCTGTGAAGATTTAGGCTGTAAGACACGTGTCGGGGTGATGCAGAATCAGTGAGTTTCTTCTAGGCCGAACACGGATAAATATTTGCTGTTTCAGCTGTACGCATGTTAGTGGACCGTGCCCGTAGACCTTCTTAATATGCATCGGTACTCACATAGCGATTGATGTCTGTTAAGAAGACTGCTGGACTCTTGTATTGGCATATCAGGTTTTCTGAAGCTCTAGTCTTATTGTTTACAAAGACAAGGCAGATTAGGCTCCATAGTAGTCACTAATATTGCTCCGTTATTGATTGTTCTTCACTATGTAGACGCCGGAATCCTGCACTTGCCCAGCTTCATCATGCTATTAAAACATACCGGTTAATTTGTTCCAAACCTCATCCCGATTAACTGCCAACAGGATGGTGCCATTGTATTTTCGCAAGTGTTTCTCTCATGCATTTGTGAACACATCCGCTCGAATGTGGCGAATCTCAGTTTACTGCGTCTCAACTAGTGACATCGTATTACGAAAAGGACAAGTGTGGCTTTTATCGTCCAGCGCACGAAAAACGTATCGAATTACAAATGTACGTTGAAGATAAGCGTATTTGCGAGCTGAACAAAAACTTTTAGTAGAAAGCCGAGCCAAGCAATCGGCAACATTTGATTTAAATAGTCACCTCCCCCCGCCCTCCCCCATCGGGATCCGAGAGGCACTGTGAAGCGGACTGCAGGATGTTGGCTTCAAGTCTTCTTAACTTATTTGTTCGTTTCTCGCTTTACTACTCATCCATGTTTTATATTTTTGTTTTAATAGGTAGTTTTGCTGAAGCAGGATGAGGAGGAAGAAGTGGAGGCGGAAGGCGAAGAGGGAGAGGAAAAAGCGAAAGGGGCGAAGAAGAAGCCGAAAAAAGGTATGTTTGGGGACCGAATTCTGTGACATGTGATTCAATTCCTTCCTCCTGCAGGTCTGACTAAGAACATTTATTAGTTTACTGGTGGCTGGATGAGGCTCTTGTATGTCCTGATTTTCGAATCTATCGAACTTATCCTTTTTCTCATACAAACAGTCGGGGCCTCAGGCTACCTGGTATGCATCGTATTTTTCAAAGGTCACTTAATGAAGGTGGGCAGACCTAGAGCGCTTGCTCTTAAATAGTCACATGGTTACAGGCCGAAACGGGAAGCCGGCCGTAACCGTCTTGGCAAAGGAACAGCATATCCTCTTCCAAGACTGCTTATTGCATGGGTTTTACATCATTCAACGCGGATTATTCATTGTACACGAAAATCGACCGATTACGGTACTTGCAAAAAATAAGAAAGCACTCAACGGAATGAAAAAGCTGAGGTATACACAACTCTACTGGGTAACTAAGTGACCATCTCAAAACTAAAAGCGAGCAGCCATCGACTACCCGAAAACAGTAAATATAAACGGCCACTTATTTACCAAAAGTAGTACAATTTAATGTAATTGGTTTAAATGCCCTAATGCTCACTACTTCACGCACTAGACGTTAGCCGGGTACACTGAAGGTACGTTCCAGCCAACCAAGATCTCTTTTGCTGTGTGTCTTGACAACACCAGCAACCGTTCGATAGGATATATGACGCATTCCTGAAATGGTCGTACTGCTTGATACGTCTGCTGACTTCGAAAACGACAGAGATGACAACACATTTATAGAGTCCTCGGATTCTAGTGGCCAATTTTCCGAAGTAACTTAAGTTAATTGGATTTCCTCGTACGGAAATGTCCACGCACGTTAAAAACTAGCCTCCCCGACCTAGAGACTTGCTACTTCGAACTGGCGTGACACTTTTAAGACGTCTACGTTCTACTCAGCGACTAACACAAATCTCATACCACTGGCGGACTCTCCCCAAATCTCTACCCAGCGTCCTCTGCTAGGAGTTCTCTACAGGCATGACGTTCAAGTGAAGTTTTCTTCCGCTAGTGACCGAGATGAAAGGAAGGGCTTGCCATCGTTATTCACGTAGGAACCGTCTAGACTCATAGAGTCAATATAGATCCAAGTAACGGTTCCAGAAACGTTAGTTCTGTGCAGCTTACGACGTCTTTAACAACGTGGCTAGCCGTGGCAAAACGGGAAACTGCCTACGCTGCTGATGGTAAATGTCACTAGGTATGGGCTCCCTGAGGCGTCTAACACGGTCCAGTTCTATATCATCGCAGTAACTAGAAAAACCTAACTTTCTCGATTCTTTCGTTCCTGTCTATATCACTCGTTATAGGTATCTGTTTTAGGACTGAAAAACACTATTGCTTGGACAAATTTTGCTCCAGTGTCTTTCTTCTAAAGAGTTTCTGTGAAAACCCTGTGCCTTGAATTTAATCTTTTATGCAGTCTCCACTGCTTCATTAAGGTGTTTCTTACTTTTAGGGAAGAAATAAGGAATACCGCGGTACGACAGGATGAATACGACCTTCACATGAATTCGGACTTGTTTACTTAGTAAAAGATTATTTGTTTACCACAAAACAGTCTTGTCAATTCATAATTTTGACAAATTTAATGAGGAGGGGAAAGAAACGTTTATAACAAGGCAGAAATTTACATGCTCCAGAGAGATAAACATTTCTCTTTGCCGACGTAACCATAAAAAGTTGCTCTTTAAAGTCAGCCCTTGTAATTAATGCATATTCAGACAGCACTAGAGATCAAGAGCCCGCAGAGTATCACAAAGCAGAACTCGGACGAAGAAAAAATATAGTACATTTGTGAGTGTTGAACTACGCTACATCCGTGGACATCTGATTCACAAGAACAATAGGCTGGAGCTCAATGTCTATTATGTGCGGAAACCCCAAGTTGTCACCTCCGTTCCTCGTCAGGGAGTTCGTATCCTGGGTGGATGGGAAAGCCACCAGGCGACGCCTTCCGCTGCCCATCTGATTGGCCACCAACGCTTTCAGTCCCGTCTGTGGATGAGAGCTCATCGTCGGGGATTCTGTTTGTCTAGAACGCGTAGGCAACAATGGGACAGTTAGAAACAAAGGACCCAGTAAAAATGGAACAAGGGCAGAGCTATTAGTGCAGGCCTCTATGTCACATGGATGCAGGCGCTTAAGTTACCAGTCACTAACATATTTTGCGGATTACAGTACGTGACGAGCCACTGCTTTCAGAGTCAGAAGAAGCGCGGATTAACCGTCAGACGTCAAGTTTCGAAGAGGATTATATTTACTTGAGAGGAAGGGCTGGAAAGGATAAGATTCACATTTCTACTATTTCACGCAAACACGTTAGAGTCAGGCCGGCGGGAGGTAATACGAATTAAATAATTAGATATTGGAAAATGAGCGTGACAAGCATATGCTAGTCTCTTATCCCACGACCCAGACTATGCCCACTCGAAAATCAGACTGTCTGTTTCGACGAGGTCCGCTGTGTGCCCTAAAGCAAGTCGAAACAGCGACGGCAACTTGCGCGTGAATTAGACTATAGTGAGTAGA